TTTGCATTAGATAAGTATATATAGAATTGTAACTGTTTACTGTTATAATGACAATGACATACTATGTTTTTTCTTTCTTTGTACTTTTTTCACTCTTTTGTAAAGCACTTATGATTTTGTTCTCTGATGATGTACACATCTCCATCATCCTTATCAGTTTTGCTTTTTTTCTTTTTTGTTATTAATTAAAAAGCAATAAAAAATAAACTAAAAAACAATATATGAATGCCATCTACTGAAAATAAAGACCTCTACAGCAGTTCCAACTACAACTTCTATAAATAGCACTCAATTGTCAACATGTCCAAAGAAGTAGTGTATGACAGGGATTTTAGTCACACCCAGGGAAGTGATAAGCTCTGACAGAGCTAAAAATATGAAGCTACCTCAGCTGATCAGCTAGTATGCAAGAGGAGAAACAACTAGAAAGAGGAGATTATCTCAGGACTCTGTTGTGTTCCAGGAGGTTATCAGTATTATTTCATCAATGGAAAGAGTTGTTATACGCCATCGGGTGGAAACTCCAATACGGTATCAGGAGGGTTTTGCTGATCAAGATTTGGAAGCCTGCAAATTAAACCACTCTCTGTTTGCTTTGCCAAGTCCAGCGGGGCCTGAACAGACAAGGAATATACACGCATCCAAGAGTGCAGCTGAAACAGAGCAGAAAAGCACAGATGAAGCAAACCCCAAATTTCAAGTCTTACTAGACGTAGTGCAGTTTCGTCCTGAAGATGTCATCATTCAAATCTTTGAAGGCTGGCTCCTAATCAAAGCTCAGCATGGACCCAGGATGGATGAACAGGGCTTTATAGCAAGAAGCTTCACTAGGCAATATAAATTGCCAGAGGGAGTTGAAATGAAAGATCTGAGTGCTCTCTTCTGTCATGATGGCATTTTGGTCATTGAAACTAAGACATTTGACAGTAAATAAATTCTTGACTTTTTGTTACTGGTGAGACAATATTATTCCTCCTTGTGATGTTGAGCATGCAAATTTGGGTTTAAGACAGCTTTCCCAGACTTTATTCAGTTTGTTGAAGAAACTGTTTGATGAGCTAGTTTGCGTGATGTGAGAGACAATATTTTTCTCCTTACAGCTGCATGTGTACAGCCAGACATTCTTAGCAAAACCATTTGATAAAATAGGGGGGAAAGGCTTGAGAAGAAATGAGAGAGATATAAAAAGAACATATGAAAGGATCTACAAAAGTGGATGGAAACGGGAGGTTGCATTTAAAGTCTCAGGGCTCTATACTGAAGGAAAAAGTTATGAAGGCTTTAATTAATTGGTCTGCTGTATAAGCTTTGCTGTAAAGCAGTTCATACTCCTGAAGAGACATGGCTGCCCATCTAAACAATGCTAAACCATCTGAAATATATGCAAATACTGATTATTTATTGCATGTAACAATTCATCTTCAAAGAGATTGTTTCCAACAAAGATTTTTAGTATGTGTTTCTTTAAATACTTGGGTATTTTGCTTTTGGTAAAGGAACAGCTGTTTAAATCAGACAGCCTTCTTTCAAGTGATAAGTATGATTGCCATTCTAAGTATAGTCAAAGAATTTGGAAAAAAGATCCAAACTAAATACAAGCTTTCATTATGGACATATTTGGACACTTTGAAAGATAGAACAAAGTTGCTGTTATCTGCATTTTAAAATATTTTTAAAAGACCAGGTCCTGATCTAGAAATACCGATCAAAGAGTTCTACCCACACAAGCTATAATCTCTGTTAGATGATCTCTTGGGAGAATGGAAAGGAAAAAAAAAACTGATTAAGAGTCCTAAAATCCAGAGTTCCTCATCTTAGAAATGATAAGTATTGACACAGGGCTGTCTGGAAGTTTATTTTAAATGGGCAATATCAGCAATCTGATTGTTCATTAAAGGCCTCCCACCATTTCTGCCAAGCACTTCCACAGCTTATATTTTGGTGGGATGATGTACCCATAGGAATGTCTTTTGCCATATGAGTATCATTGGCTAGCTCTGGCCAAAAGAAAGTTAAATTTACATTTTGCTTAAGAACCATTTCATATGCCTTCCCCAGTTTACCTACCCACTTACACGTGATGTTCCAGAAGTATGCCTAGGATGACAGATGTGTACTTAGATTCTAGGAACCATGTAAGAGGAGAAAGCACACTGGTGTGTTTGAAAAAAATAAGCCCAAGCCAATATGGAAAATGGATCATCATCATCATCATCATCATCATCATCATCATCATCTCCTTTATATTAATATCTTCAAATGCCTTGTTTCCAAATCTGCTTTTAAAAATAACATATGGGTCTTTGGACAGACATAAACATATAATCTGCTAATAAATATTAATTATTATAATTAATAATATTGTTGGAAAATGATGCAGAATTTATGTTTAGAAATAAGACTTGTATTTCTGAATTTTGGCAAGTGCAAAACTACTACATGCTCAGCAATACTTTTGTAATTAAATTATGCATTTATTTACAAAGATGCCCAGCTTCTAAGACGCCGAATGATAGTAAGACAGTTATTGACAAAACAAGAAAAATTATTGTATTATTTATGGTTAATGATTTTATTATGAGTCTAATGTTCTGCTGATATTTTATTTCTGTATTCTATTTGCTGTACATTGTGATTATTTCTATAATTCATTACAGTCTCATAGAATGAATATTATAGGCGTGATTTCAAAATATTTTAAGTGATAATTTGAAAGTATAAATACTACATGTGACAAGTTTGTAATCTGTTAAGATACAGAGATATAAGAGACATGCAAAAAGCTATTAATACTGTTTATGAACAGAAGTGAGATCATATACCATATCATTGCATGATATGCATTTCTTTATCAAATGTATAAAGATGCCCTGCATATTGTATTGTATATTGTATACAATACAGTGACTCTGGCTAGCATACAATATTAAAAACAAATCAACAATAACAATGAGAAAATAAAATAGTAGATATCTGGAAATAGAAAAACTAACACCATCTCAAACATACAGTGTTCCTGCAGGGGTCTACCACCCAACCCTAATTCTAACCCTGCAGGAAGAGCCAGGTCTTAAGAGTCTTAAGACCCCATCTGAATAAGTCCAGGGTAGGGCCAATAGAATTCTGCAGGGATGCTGTTCCAGAGGGCAGGTGCTTCCACAGACAAGACTTGTTTCCTGGGTTCTATCAGATGACAATTCAATTGATGAGAACTTGAGCATGCCATCTCTTTTGGATCAAACAGGATGGGCAAACATTAGGGAGCTGGGTGGTTCCTCAGATAACCAGGCCCTCAGGGTGATAACCAGCACCTTGAATTGCATTCAGAAGCCTCCTGGTAGCGATTGCAGCTCAGAACACAAACGTTACATTAGGATAACATGGTTTGCCCATAACTGTCTGTGCGGCTGCATTCTGGACTAGTTGCAGCTTCCACGTGGTCTTCAAGGACAGCCCCAAGTAGACTGCATTACAGTAGTCTATACATAAGGTGACCAAAGCATAAGTAACTATCTTGAGGTCCTCCCAGTTCAGAAACCGGTATAATTGGCACAGAATATGAATCTACACAAAGGCCTTCCCCATCACAACTGCCACCTGCCATAATCTGACATAGAAATATACTTTTGAAACTGCATGTTAACTTTTTTCAAGTACTTTGGGCACAAATAAAATAGATATTTCATTAAATAAATTAAAAGCAGATTTGTATAAGTTAAAGAAATCACAAAAACTGCTCTTTGTAGGCATGAGATTATTTCCCAATCTGAAACTTTAATGTTCTCTGTCCCCAAAGTTCACCTTGCATCTATTATTACTTTTTTTAAAAATGCAAACTTTATGAACAGTGAAATACCAGTTCAAGCCATCCAGAGAAAATCATGTTTATTATGAATGAGCAGATCAGTTCCAATCCTATTCAAATGGGTGGTTTTTATATAATCAATTCAAATAATTACTTCCATATTGGCAGCCACTTCAATCCTATTCAACTGTTTAACTCAATTCAGAAAATGAAATGAATTTCATTTGATGATGCAATTCATTTCCAAATTGATTCAGAAAGTTAATTTGACTCAGAGATTTGATCAAACTGACTTTGAATGTAGTCTCCAAAACAATTCCATGCATGCTGTAATGTCTGCAAGGAAATAAGTGTGTACAAAATCGCATCTCCTTTTGCTTTGGATGTTAATGTATTAATCTTAAGAAAAGATCCACATATCATCTGCAATCAAAAAGAGACTTTCTTCTATATGGAAGGAATCCTCCTACTTTCCTTTTCTTCAAGAAATAACTTTTTTAGTTGGGATAAGTTATTAGAGAAAAAGGGAAGTGAAAGTCAACTACAGAACAGTATTAGACATTTTCAAAAGTTCATGCTGTAAGTGGTAATTCAGGGGAAACAAATAACAACAGCAGGTTCATCCCCACAATTCTAAGTCTTACGCAGGAATTTCAAACCAACTGGTAGAGAAAGTTCTACAGGTAGAGACAAAATAGATCCTATTAACTCAGGAAGATGATACCAATATTGACAGAAGAGTTCTTTTCTCAGAAGAAAAATTCATCCCATAAATATGACTTTTAACTGAAAGACACATTACACTAGATGATTCAATAAACTAATTCTATTGATTCACATGTGAAATTAAACTGGTTCTATGTAAGAAATGCACATATTAATCTGATTGGCATTTAAAAAACCACTTTTTAACATTTTATATATATAAGTTGTAGCTTTCAGATTTTTAGATAATCAATTTTTTAAACATTTTCACAATGAAACCCTTTTTAAAAAAACCAACAGTGGTACTTTCCTATTTAAAAAAGAACTGTTGTTCTCAGTTCCCCAGACAACATAATCCATTCAACAAAGATAGGTAAACTTTTATCCTGGTCTTTGACCAACAAGTGTACATATTCCATTCAACAAATAACATGCAGTAGAAAGAAATTAGTGAAGTCAACAATAATAATGGAATTAAAAAGTGATTTAAAGGCAAAGAAAAAGAAGATTTTAAAAATGGTTTGTTACCTTCCTTGTAACAGTGCTCTCTTCAGAAATTTGACTGCATGTTTTCCCACTATTTTTCATCAGAAGAGGATTGAATGGACTTCTGTTGGAAACTTATTTGCAACAAAATTTAATTGAGATTTTAAAAGTGAGCTCTGTATGTTAATTTTTTTCAAGCATAATTAATTTAATGCAACTATATACATTTTTTTATTCACAGAAGTGTATTTCATATACTGCCTAATTCCATTTTTTAAAAATTGAACTTAACAGCTCATCCATTTTCTAAAACAATTGTAAAATATCTCAATTCCTTGTGAATCCTATTTAAACACTTTGCATCCTTTATGCCCTCACTAAGAAGATGATGAGATCAGGAGCTCCACTCAATGCTCTTTTACAGCTCCCTCGTAAAGCCTGGCAGCAATACAGAAGGAAAGCAGGCTCTCCCTCTTGCTCAGAAGCCCTGGGAGAAGAGTTTTCCTCTAGCTTTGGGCACTGCAGTAGCAGCTTTTTCAGTCCAAATGAGGAGGAAAGGTGTCCATAGTACCAGCCAGGATGGATGGAAGATATGTGAGGAGCATTTATATCCCGCTGGGATGAAAAGGAATTATTTCGAGAGTGGCTGGTTTGATTACAGACATGTGGTATGATCATGCCAAATGCCTATTCCAAACAAAGGTTCAGTGCCATCAGTAATCAATATTTACTGAACCTAGGCCAGAACTAAGATCCAACCTACTATTTTAAGGATTATCTTTTGTTCTAAATCCATGGAATTTTATCATAATCTGTGTTTTCTCCTTAATTGATACTTGGGCATAGTTCCTTTCTTTTTTCTTTCACTTCATTCTGTTAAGTAGCAGACTGAAATGCCATATCTCGTTTTTTCAATGCCGTATCTTCTGGTTTCAAAGGATTGGCTGTGGATTATATACAGAAATTGTTTGAGTTATGGAAGTTTACTGTTGTCTTGAAATCCAAACCTAGTTGTTTAGTTCTTTGAAGCCCCATTATGTTTGAATTGTCTGGATTTGATATACCTATAGATGCAGTGCTAACTGAATCTGTATATCATGTACCTAACTGCATTTCCAGGCATGTTAACAATGCTACTGAAATATAACTCAAATGAAATTGTTGTATAATAGGCAAATTATTATTTTGGTTTAGTACATTTTTGTTGCAGTATCATTTGTGCCACAATCAGCCAGTGTGGACACAATTTTTTACACAGTCAAGGTTCACTATCACTTATTATACAATTTATTTGACTTCAACACTATGGATACAATTGCTTTTCTCATGTATCACCATGTTAGCCAGTTGCTCAAATACGATTATTAGATTTTACCAATATTTCTGACTTTAAAATAAACTCTACAAAATATGTTATGAAACCAAATTTATTTTGCAAGTACTGCTATTGTAACAAATCTTTAGAAGTCACAAAAAAAAAAAAGAACTACATTACAGTAAGTTCCTTTTTTGTTTTCAACAGGTTACCATAGCTGTTTGGACTGAATAATCATTGACTAGTAACTGTAGTAGTAACAGCATGTGTTAATATTAACAGCATATTAACCAAAGATGATAAATTAACCCATTGCCCCACCTCTCATATCAGAACAGAGGTATTTTCTGTTTGCTGTGGATAACTGGATTTCAACTTTACATAGTTCATTCTAGGAAACTTATGAGAACTGCCAACATACTTCCATTTCTTAACCCCAAACCAAAACAATGTACATGATAGGAAAGTCCCAACAGAAATCAGTTTGGAATAATATCTGTGGAATTTACATATTGGGTTTCCATGGGGATGTTCTGTTATCATTATTTCAAAATTCTAAAACCTATGGCTAGAATTAAAAATGTACTGTGGGAAATGGAAGAATATATACAGTGAAAATATATGGAGGAGGAGGGGAGGGATAAAGTTTTAGCTTGGCCCTGATGAAAATCATTATCACAAATAGGGAAAAACTGCTATTATAATCAACTGCAACATCAGCAAAACAATTATGTAAAATATAACTTTTCTTCGGTTTGGCCATAAAAATGTATTCAAACCATCAGGCATTCTCTGTTTTTAACATCCACAATTATACAATGTCCTTCAGGGTAAAAAAATCTCATTCCATAATAAAATTAGACAATGATTTCATTAAAAGTACTATTCCTAGGACAAATTTTGAGTTTCAACTCATCTGTGGAAATTTTTAATTTCCATAAATCAAATCAGTTCCTCCCCTGCCACCACAATTGTTTTTCATCACCGAAAAGAGAACTTGTGACTCCATCGTCCTCAGTTTATGAAAACTGCTCTCCGTGCAGTTATTGCCTTTTAGCATTCCATGTTACAAATGCTGTTGTCATTCTAAAAAATACAAAAATTTCAAAAACAATTTATTTTACACAATAATGCTCAAATAGATCCCAGGTCTGTAATACAAACTTTCAAAATTTCAGAAAATTGAACTTGCATCTTAAACATTGTAATAATCAATATTAGTTTTTAAAAAAACCTTATTAATAGATAACTTATAAAAACATATAATTGTAATGATCAAAGGTAGAAAAGGAATTCTGATTAAGATAGCTATCTTAGTTAGAGCTACATGCAACATTTCATGAATAACAAAGGAAAACATTTCAAAAAGAAAAAAAGGAAAAGCTAATAAAAGCTAATTTAAAAAGAAAAAGAAAATTATGTTAGTAAGGAATCCCAGCTGGAACATGCAAAACACAAAGAAACCCAAATCTTCTTCCTCCTAAGCTGCAAAAATGAAAAAGGCAAAAAAGAATTTAAAAATACAAAAGGGGAGCCTAACCTCTAAACAAATAATCATTTCTGGTTGGACTGTTGAGATAATTCTGCAAAAATCCGAGTATCCATTACTTGCAGTAACTAAGGCCATTTACAGATCACAGAATTTCTCATATCAATACTGATGGACAGGCCTGACGCTAGACATTTTGGCGCCCTCGGCAAAGTCCTATTTTGGGACCCCCTATAGTTTGGCTCAACTTCCAATTTTGTTAGGAATTTCAAAAAGGCACCCTCTTGTTTCTTTTTTTTTTCTTCAAATTTTTGAGGCTTACACTTACAATTTTCAGCTCCATACCATTTTTTTTTTCTTTTCTCAGACATGTTCATCCTATTTACACAGTAAGTAATTTTAATTACATCAGTACCCATTGTTGTCATATGGCAACAATTCTATTTAACCCTCAAGCGGGCCCACTGGCTCACAAAGTACACTGTTATTGCTTTTTTATTGTATTTTTTTGGCAGTCTTTTCAATTTTGGTGCTCCTAGGGTGGTGCCTGTGGAGGGATTAGCCAAAGATTGCAAGTTGTATCAAGAAAGTTTTTGTTCCCTTTTGCCTAGCTATGAGGCATGTTTGGTGAAACTTTTACCATTTTTTATGACCCCTGAGGACAAATCTGAAACTAGGGTGAGATTTGCCTCATACTCTAAAGGTTTTGCATTCTTTGTTGCTTGTAATGCTGTGTCACGTTCAGACCTGCAAAGAAATTAGACAACAGATTTGGGGAACTGTAAAGACTTGTATCTTGAAGCATCGCGTAGACTGCATCACTCCAGTCTATACAGTTTAATTGAAGCAGTCCCTGAAAGTATTTTACTACGACATCTGCTAAAGCTCGTTTATGTTCCAAATAAGGAAATTGGTAAGCTGATTTCTTTTCTCCT